GCAGGTGTGCGGTGGTCACGGGAGGTGTCTCGGCCAACGTTGTACCGCTAAACACGGTAAGTCTGCAGTTCACGGAAGTGAGCGGAAAACCGCTCGAGAGGACAGTGTGAAGAAATTCCCAACCCTGTCCCTGGACATGACAGCCGGGCTGCCCCTCAGCACCTCTTATCTGAACACCCAACTGGGCTTCATCTTCTGTCTGGAACCAGGGTTGGCTCCCCCCTCAAGGAATCATTGGCCCTCCCCTTGCCGCCCACACTATCGCCAAGGCCAGAGCCCAGAGTCCGGCTGGACCTCCAGCACTGCTACAAAGTGCGGTTCGTGCTCCCATCCCCCTTCCCCCGCTGCCGTGTGGTCCCCAAACCTTGCTGGGCCTTTTAAATGCCTTTCCAGCCAGTGCACCAGGCACTGCTCCAGGCGCTTCACATATATTAACTCATTTACTCGTCCCACCGACTGCCACTTTACAGATGAGGAAACTGAGGCACTACGACCTGAAGTCACTTGTAGAAGGCCACACACTAGCACGTTACAAGGGCAAAACTGGGATTTCACACCAGACACAGCCTGGCCCCCAAGCCCACGTTCGTGACCACCTCCCACATGGTCTCCCCAGCCCCTCGGGCCTCTGTTGGGTCCGGGTGACCTGGAGGTTCCAGTTCTGGAAGTACATTTTCAGGAACAATGTCCCTGTGGGAACCCTCAGATGGCTCCCCACTGCCTCCGACCTGCGATCCGGTTCATCTCAGCCCCCCCTCCCTGCTGGCTGCACCTGCTCCGGGACATGCCGCACTCTCTCCTCTTCTGGCTTCACCTCCGCCATCCCCTCTAACTGGCGGGCCTCAGGTTTACCTTCTCCCAGAATCTTCCGGTCCCTCCTTGCACGGTGCCTCACCAGAAAGGCCTTCTCTAACCAGTCTAGGACGCCTTTTCTCCACTTACTCGGGAGCACCGAGCCTGGCCCCACCTCTGCAGACCATGTCTAACAACCTGTGGTTGTGTGGTTACTCCCCTCCCTGCTGGTGTCCCTCCCACCCCCAAACCAGTAGCGCCAAGAGAGCAGAGAGCTAGTTGGCGTCAGTTCACGGTCACACCTGGTCACATCCCAGCTCTGGGCGCTGTGCCTGGAGGACAGCAGGTGCTCGGTGCATCGTGGAATGGATGGATGGATCTGCTGAATGGGTTCAGGGAATCACAGTACAAGATCAGGTGTGGGAAGCACATGCTATGGCTACAACCATATAGACCTCACATGCCTCTGTGGAAAAGGCTGGGAAGGAATCCAGAAGTTTCATGAGGATGCCCACTATCTACTTAGGGTATCTGGACAGTGGGGGGAACCTCTCCTGACCATGACTGGCCATATTTTCTAGGAATAGGCAAGGCTCCTTTCAGAAGGCTCGGATGCCAGCTCTGGCCGGCGACTGGCTCCTGGTCCCAGCCTGCTGTCCTCCGGGCACTCCCAGGGACGGCTGGTCAGGAGGCCCATGAAGGAACCTGCAGGAGCGCCCTGCCTGGGCGGGGTGCAAGCGCCCTGCGTCTGGGCCCAAGCAGCCAGCCCGGTCCTTCTCACCCCCCACAATGGGGGCCCTCATACAAGTAATGAACTCGTTTAAACATGTCAAGGCAGCTCCTCCAAACAGGGTTAAATCCAAAGATGCCTGCCCCTAGGAGCCCTGCGGTGTAGACGCCTACCCCTCGGAGCCACGCGCTGTGAGCCCTAGTCACTTCTCCAGCAGCTGCACAGAGACGACAGCCAGCTGTCCCCCAGCATGGCCCTGTGCACTCCACCAACGGGATCTCACTCGATTTTCAGCAGCTCTCCCACAAGTCTTGAGAAGCATGTTAGAGGCAAGGCCACTGAACCTCGCGAACACGGAGACCCTAAGTGCTCCCTCCCTCCTGCCTCGGCTCCACCCAGAGCTGGAGCTGGAGCTGGAGCTGGAGCCGGAGCCGGAGCCGGAGCCGCAGCGGGGCCCGGACGCTCACGGTCTGCAAGGGTGGCAACCAATTCAATTAACGAGAGCAGCCTTGAGTCCTTATCTGCTAGAGAGAAGTATTTATAGATGCGATGATGTGACATCTTCCATTTGCTTTAATACACGGCGGGTGTGGGTATTATAAAAAGAGGAATGTTCGGGCGGATGAAATGAGACGCCGTGAAAGAGTAATAACCGCTGGAGGCAGGGCAGGGGGTGATTCACGGTGCCATTCTCTCTAAAAGTCTAATCTGTTTTATCTAGTCAGGCCAGCCTTCCCTTCCCACCCCACCCCCCGCCTCCCTTCACCCTGCCCGTCCATGACCTCTGCCCCACGTGCTCTGCTCTCCAGCAACAATGAAAACAAAACAGGCTGGAGCGCAAGCATGGTCAGCAGGCTTCCTTCCGAAGGGGCAGGGGCGCCGGCCTCCGTGATGCTCCTGGTCCGGAGCCACCCTGCCAGGGCTCACCTGCCACACCTGGCCCAGAGGCCCATGGCCAGTCAGCAGACATGTGACAGGCTGTGGCTTCTTATCAAAGTGTGATGAGGTTAGATCAGCAAGCACAGGTTAAGTCACCTCCCCCTGCTGCGGAGCTGACATTCCTTCATGCCTGTCCGCCTGTATCACATCACCTTCTGGAAAAGCTGACCAGCCCCTCCAGCGCTTCTCCCTCAGGTCACTACACTCACAAGGAGCATGCCCCGTTTCCTATCGTTTGGCAAATACGAATGCCCTCGCCGAGGTCATGGTGTCACCTATGTGTTATGTGCAGAGAAGGCATTGTTTGACGTGCAAAGCCTGCTGACTTTTCCCCAATGGAAGGTGAGATGCTCCAGCATTTGGGAACAATCGCCAGGAAGAATAAAAAGAAGAAAGAAAGAAAGAAGAGTCGAACAACAACACATGCGTATCTTATTCTAGTACCATGCACTCGTAAAACCCATAATTCCTAGTATTTTCTGGATGGCGCCCTTGAGCAAAGACATAATTTGTGATCAGGCAGGGTACAGACAGCCATTACTTTCTTAATGGCCTACTATCCAAAAAGGCTCAGTTAAGTGATCTCAACTGGCAATCTAATCAATTAAAATTGATAAGTGAAAGACTTTTAACCTTTCTTTCAGCGGGCCGCTCCTAGGTGGAGGGGGAAGGAAGGAATGTGAATTCCCAGCATAAAATTTAATTCCATTTCATGGGTGGAAGCATTCTGGCTGCCCTGATAGAGTGGTCCCCAAGAAAGCAAGCTGCTTCCCTCTTTCCCTGAATCAGATCAGAGAAAGACTGGTTTATCGTCCTCTCCAGTGAACGCAATCAATTTAAACCCTTAGAGAAATCCCTGTGCGACCTCTCAAGGAGAAAGGGGCTGAAGGAGATGAGCAGAGAGCATCCCAGACAGGGTACAGCTTCCTCGCTCTTCCGAGAGAGAGAAGGGAAAAAGAGAACTAGAAGGCAGGAGGAAGAAGTTAGACAAATGGTTAAAACCTATCATAATCACTTATGGAGAATCCTCTACTCACACAGAAAACTCTGCACTTCCTACGCACTGGCTGATTTAATCAGCAGCTGATATGGACTACGGCTTCCTGAGCGCAGGTATACACTGGACGCTATGCTCTGTCACATAGTATTTCATACTGTGTTTCACTCAAGTCTCAACACAGGCCCATAACCGAAGGGAGTTCACTGCCATTTTATGGGCGAGGAAATGGAAGCTGGCAGGGGAGGGGGGTGTTCAATCATTTGCTCAAGGGAGGACACGGCAGGGCAGGAGGATCGGGCTCAAATGCCAACCCTCAGGGGTCTCTATCATGATCGCTGGTCACACAACAGAACATTTGTCAAAACGTATTCGGTCGTACACTAAAACTTGGTGACTTTTATCAGCTGTAAACTGCACCTCAATAAAGCTGACTTAAAACAGTGGGACCCTGTCCTTAGCATATGTGACAAAGAGTGGCCATCTGCGGTTCCTGCCGGCTCAACTTCCGTCCCCTGAGTTTCCTTTGTGGGCAACCTCCCACCTCCCCCTCAGGTGGTGGAGGTCAGAAATGGGCCCCACCTCTGGGCTCCAGGACCAGCCACAGGACCCCGGCCTCACCCAACAGTGGATTGCGTTCCTCTGACCACGGATTGGTTCAGGGGTGGTCATGTGACCCAAGCCTGACCAGTGAGAGCCCTGCTGCGGACCTCCATGACGTTGCAGGAAAGGGACGTCCTGTTTTTGCCTGGGCTGCTGAGTTGGTTCAGCAGATCGGGGCGCTGCAGGTGGCCCCCGTGTCGCCACCTGAAGAGAACCCTCCCGAGGATGAAGCCAGAACAGAGGGAAGCCGGGCGGAGACACAGGGTGGCAGCTTCCTGATGACACGGCTTCAGTACCTAGATCCAGCTGTGCCTGAAGGCAGTGACTTTCCAGTGACACCAGCCAAGTCCCCTTTCTGTTTCCTGAAGCCAGCCTAAGTTGCGTTTTCCATGTCCCACAGCCTAGGAATCCTACTACAACATGACGCCTTTACAACACAGAAAAGCACCTCGCCCCTGAGTGCAGGTGCCCTAGAGCAAAGGGAGGAAAGAGAGAGCTGTACACGTACAGGGGGGGTTATCGGAGCACAACCAGGCTTCAGACCCACTGCCACTTTCAGTCAGGTGACCCACAGTCACTTTTGAAAGTTGCCCCCCCCCTTTTTTTTTTTTAGCAGCAGAATCTTTAATCATTGAAACCATTCAGAAAACCAATCAAGCTGGCAGTGCCACGGTCATATGGAGGGCAGGGATCCCGGAGCCAGAGACCCCTCGGCACACGGCCTGCACAGCCCAGCCTGGGCCGTGGAGGGGCTTCCAGGCACCCCCGATCCAGGGCCCTTCCTTGGAGTTTGGTGGGACACACACACTCCTTTGGCTCTTGGAGACGGATCAGCCACAGTACCAAATGCTGGTGGCACGTCGGCGGCATGTCCACCCTCCTGGCGATGCCTGAGCCGGCAGCGCAGAACAGCCCCCCCACCCCCCCGCCATGACTCACTCAGATCTAGGACGTCATCAGTTTTGATCAGGTCCTCTTCCCGCGTCAGTGGCAACTGGGTCTCGGGCTCCCCTCGCAGCTGCAGTGACAGGGAACGGAGCATGAAGAACACCCGAATGGCCTGGACAAACGGGACAGAAAAGAATGAAATCATAGTTATTTAGGTGATGTGCTCTATGTGGAGGAATCACACAGTGACTCTTGATTTAAAGAAACAAAACATACAAAACGAGGTCCACCTCTCCTGGTCCCAGGCCTCTGGTGTTTCAAACCAAGACAAGACCAAAAAAAAGGAAAATAGAGGGGAGGGGAGGGGAAGAGAGGAGGGAGGAGGGGAGGGGGAAGGGAGAAAGAAAATCAAAAGGCGCAGGCGGTTCTCACTTATCCACACACTGAGGGCACGTCGCCTCAACTGAGCACCTGTCATTTGCCAGCACCTCTGCCCTGGGGTCACATGGCCCTCACCCCTCCTCAGCAGGGAGCCCGTTTTGCAGACAAGTCACTGAGACCCGAGGAGGCCAAGTGCTGTGCCCCAGGGCACGCGTCTAGGGAGGGCAAGAACCAGGCCTCTTCCCACCGAAGCAGCACAGAATCTGGACATGCAAATCCCAAGTAACAGTGTTCCCAAGTCGCGCCTACTGAATGTGGGGGGCAGGGAGAACAGGGGGCTCAGGGCCGGCCAGACTCGATTAAAAGCCCGCCCTGCCCGCCCTGGGAGCCCGGGCACAGCAAAGTCCCAGTCCCGTGGCCTTAGCGCAGGGTGTATGCTGTGGACAGACAGCAGCCTGGCGCCTGGCAGCTGTGTGGTGGCATCAGTGCCCCCAGGGCCCCTCGCACTAACCCAGACGGCTCTCTGGGGACAGAGGCAGCGCCTTGAGCATAGGGATCCCTGGCCAGTGGAACGGGTGCCTGGGCGGAGCCTAGTACAGCCTTCGGACGCTTGCCAGAGACGAGGAGAAAGCAGAGTGCCAGGCCCCGAATCAGAGCCATCAGTGCAGAGGGCAGCCTGTACCGCGGGCCCACCTTGCGCTCCCAACTGGAGCTGGGTCGCCGGCCCACAAGAGACCGGGAAGCGGAGGGGCGGCCCTCAGACGGGCCTCTGCTGCCACCTTCCCTGAGGCGTAGCTGCTGGGCCTGAGGCCTGAGGGAAACGAAGTCTGTGCTGGGCTGGCTGGGCAAGGCCCCTGACCCCCCAAGAGCTTCAATTTCCACATCCGTGAAATGGGGGGGGAGTGCGGTGGTCCCTGCCGCGCGGGGCTGCTAGGAGGCCCTGAGACAGGGCCGGAGGGGGCAGCCAGCATGCGCTCCGTACAGGGCCGGCCAGCCCTCACTGCAGGCACTCGACGGCTGGGCACGGGGGAGGGCACGGGGACAAACCACTGTCGCCACTGGTGAGCCACACGGCAATGAATGCCGGCCCACTCTCGGGCTCCTTGTTCTGAGGCCACGGGCTTGGCCTGCTGACTGGGGAGGCTGCCATTTCATATGACGAGGTGCCTCCCAAACAAGGAGGGGGGTGGGGGGGCAAATTCCTGCCTCCGAAGAGCAGGGCTTGCACTCAGGCAGCAAGGATGCCCCCTGGCACATTTAAAGCCTAATGCGGCCATGGCCTGAAACCGGCAAGAGACCTGGGCCACTTTCGTGATCTCCTAACAGAAAACCGGAAGGCCCGTCTTCTGTCCGGGACGTGTTCTGAGGTCACAGCAAAGAAGCAGAGAAAGATAAGCTCTTATAAAGTAGTGATGGTGCTGATGGCGGCGTGAGTATCGATCTGATTGCTCTTATCAGTTTTTTCAAGCACGAGCTTCATCAGGCGTCTGCAACAATCTGAAGGAACACGAGTGTGGCTTCAGTTTTTAAAAACCAAAGCAGCTCTTACTGACGAAGCAGCCACCGGGGGCCGGGCACGGGGGCTCCTTGCTACCGCGTAGAAGCTGCGACACAGGTAGGGACAGAGCTGAGAGGCCGAGTGAAACAAGGTCACAGGGCTGACGGTGCCCGAGCTGGGGCTGGAACCAGGAATGTCTGGTGCTCGGGGCGCGTCACCAAGCACGTGAGGAAATTCACACGCCTGGGCCAGCCTGAATGCGGAGAGCCCAAGATGTGGGGGGTCACTTAACAAGAGGGCCATCTGAGCTCTCGAACAATGAGTCATGGCTTCAGATGTGACCAAAAAAAGGCCATCGGTCAGGTCCAAGCTGAGCGAATGCTTCATTTCTGTGTCAAAAACCCACCCCTCCCAGGGTTCCGAGAGCCAAGAAACCAAGCAGGACCCTTGCTTGCTGGGGGGACGCAAACAGAAATGTGTGTGGCTTTCTACAGGCCATCGCTCTGAGAACCAGACACCTTCCAACAGAAAAGGAGTTCAGGATTTGGCTCCTAGTATAGACCTTTCTGGTAACACATCTGCTTTTGCTCTGCAAGCAACAAATGGAAAATATTTCCAGAAATACAAAATGATAATAATAATAATACAATAATAAAAATATGAAGAACATAGAACGTAAAACAAGCCCCCCTCCCCCCGAGAATACTTTTCCTGGTGCTTGCCCCAGTCAAGAGGAGGAGGAGGATGTGAAAAGCCTGTGCCCACGAGGGAGGACAGACCTCACAGGGCCAGGTGCTCCATTTGGGCTACAGGTGGGGGTCCCGTGCAGGGGCTATGGGGTCTGCCAGGCACGTTGACTAGTCCACAAAGGAGAGGTGACACACCAGGAGACGGGTCCTCAGATTCAGCCCACAGCCCCCTGAGCTGTAACCACTCCCTCTGATCACCAGAGTCCTGGCCAAGTACCGGCGAGGCAAGACCGCGTCACCTCACCGAGGCCTCTTAAAAGCTCTGTGTGGTTCCCATTTCACAGACAGGAAACCAGAGTCCGGGGATGTGAGGCAGCCCGCCCACAGTGACTCAGCTAATAACCAGACTCCAAAGTCTGTGGTCTTCCAACCATAGGCCTTTGCCTTCGAAAGATTTCAGGCTTGGGACCCAGGCTTTTATTGAGTGCTTCTCTGGACGGTGCCAAATAAACACACAATGTAAGAAGTATTACTAAAAAGGAAAAGGAACCATTACTCTTTCTGAAGCTTCCACAGAACGCCGGGAAGACGGATGGACTCTGGAAGAACACCCTAGCTTTGGACAGGAGTGAGAGCTGAGAGTGCTCAAGTATCGAGAAGAGATGCCGTCTGTGCGCTCGGGTGTCCGGGGAGCAAGCTCTGCCGGGGGGAGGGGGGGAGCGTGGGGAGCGAGTCTGCCAAGTGGGGCAGGGCAGCTTTGGGGTCAGACAGACCTTGGTGAGTCGCACGAAGTCCCTCAGCCCCGGCATGAGTTCCGGGAATAGGGGGTACCCGCCGGCCCTGATCTCAGGGGCCGCACAGAGGCGTGCCCCCCGGAACCCTGGGGCTGCCAGCTCAGGCCCAGCCCTCGCTCTGCTCCCCCCACCACAGCTGCAAGCCGCGAGGTTTAGGCGACGGTCACCCAGCTTAGAAGCCCAGCAGGCTGGGGAAGTGGCTGCGAAAAGTCCGTCATCCTCGACAGGACGCTGAGGCGTTGTACAGTGGGCACAGCCCGCTGGGAGGGTGCCCCGGCGGGACGCACAGTGCCGCACACACGCCATACCCTTTGAAGCAGCAATCCCACTTCTGGGAATGTGTCCTAAAGAAATAAGCTGGAATAGAAAAAACACCGTATTCGTGAAGCTGCTCATGACAGTTTAGCTGAAAATAATGCAAATACTGGAAGCAGCCAGAATGCCTGGTTAAGGAAAATGCCTGAGTCCGATATGGCCAAAGTCACCAGACCACCACCGTGCAGGCCCCGGTGAGGGAGCCGATCTGCTGATATGGTGACACCGTGTGGCAGCACAGATAGCTTCCTGCCGCAGGACAGGGAAAGGGAATGGGGAGGCTGGGGGCGCCGCCATGTGAAGACGCATTTGCAAACGATAGGGAGGAGGCACGAAAAATCTAGGGTGACGAAATCACGGGAAATTCTTTCCCCTCGACTTTTAAAACCTCACAAGCTGTTCTTTCATGCGCCACCCACATCTAGAGATTAAAGCAAAATATCCTATTTCCTCACGGTCAACAGCGATAAACACAAAAACTGTCTGTGGTTTCACGTGGGAACAAGGAACAGAATTCAGGGGCAAATAAGATTTCACACAGGGGCACCTGGGTGGCTCAGTCGGTTAAGTGTCCGACTTCTGCTCAGGTCATGATCTCGCGGTTCGTGGGTTCGAGCCCCGCGTCGGGTTCTGTGCTGACTGCCAGCTTGGAGCCTGGAGCCTGTTTCGGATTCTGTATCTCCCTCTCTCTCTGACCCTCCCCTGCTCATGCTGTCTCTCTCTCTCTCAAAAATAAATTAAAAAACAAAAAAAATCAAAACAACAAAAAAAAGATTTCACACAAATATGGTTACGTCCTAATGGCTTCCAAGATTACCAAAGAGACATGGCTGGTGGCTTGAATTCAGATTTTGATGTTCATCAAAAATTCCACTCCCTAACTCTCTCCTCTGGCCTCAAGCTTTGGGAGACCGTGAAAAACTCTCTTTCCTTCCCTGCGGACATGCTAGACTGCTTCTTTGTGTCGCCAGCATCTCCGAGGCGCCCCTGCCAGGCCCATGGCAGCCCGTCTTTCTCACGACTTTGGGCAAGAGCTGAGAGACGAACACATGAGGAACCTGAAGCTTAGCGTGCTTAGGCAACTTGGTCAAGGTCACACAGTTGGAGCTGGCACTGAACCTGGGTTGCTGTGTGTTCTTTCTAAACTGCTTCTCTCAACTGCCTGTGGGAGGGGCCCAGCCCAAGTCCCCATTTCTGCTACACAGTCTCATCAGACCCCAGGAGCTCCTGTGACCTTCGTTTCTCCGTGAACTCCCCTTGTCCGCTGGCACAGCTCAGTGGCTCTTCTGCTATTTTGGTCTTGTTTTATAATCTCTGTTCAATGTCTGTGCTCGCCTTTTGCACGGTACCTAGGAAATGCTTGACACATCTGTCAAATGAAAGAATAAAGAGTGTAATCTGCAATATGCAAGAGGGGCAATGTGACTTTTAGTGCTGGGTGCCTCCCGCTGGCCTGCAAGGCCCGGCCACCGTAATGTCCTGTCCCGTCCCCTTCACACAGCCTGTTTATCACCGAAATTCCTGAACATGTAGGACTCGCTCACATCTTGGACTCTGTCCCCTCGGCCTGGTTCACTTCTGTGCCCTCGGGCAGCGTCTGGCCTACGGTCAAGACCCAGGGGCTCCACAGTGTGGAGGACTATGTTACAAGCTAGGAATGATGCATTAGTCAGGGCTCTTTGAACTTCTTTGACAAGTCCTTAAGGAAACTAGAAGGTGGGATTTCTAAAAAGGGTCAGTCTCCTAAAAGTTAAAAAAGTTTCCTTGGTGGAAAAAAGAAGAAGAAAACCTTTGAATCCAAAAGGATGAAATGGAATGTTCTTTGGATACAAGCAAAGAACTTGAAACAAACCACATAAGCCCTCAATTGCTTCCTAAACCATACACTTCCTTTGGCTCTAATTCAGAGCACACTGCTGCGTTCTGATGTCTGAAATGGGCTGAGGATTCTGGAGCTTCTGGAGGGTTCTAGACAGCTCCTTGAAATAGGAACCGGACTGAGGTGAGTGGTCAAAATTCCCCTTCAGAAGTCAGTTCTTAGGTCACAAGGGAAAGCTTCCCTAAGGTGGACGGCTCTGCTTTGAGATGGGCAGCCCTCTTTTCTACCATTCTGCCACCTTCTCGCCGACTCTAAATCCAGGGGCCCCGAGGCTTCAGACTTGCTCTTATAAACTCGTCAGACAGACGAGGTCTGAACGAGAGACCCCCGGGAAGCCCAGACCTTCCCAGGGGCTCTGTCTGTGCTCAGTTAGTTTGGGCTGCGCATCCCGTCTGCGGCAAGGTAGACAGGCAGCCGACAACCCAGTGAGACGTGAGGGGCAGAGGAGGAGACGGTACGTCAAGAACTACTATCGGCCTGGGGCGCCTGGCTGGCTCCGTCAGTTAAGCACCCGACTCTTGATTTCGGCTCAGGTCATGATTTCACAGTTCGTGATTTCAAGCCCTGCGTTGGTCTCTGCACTGACAGAGACCTAAAAAAAAAAAAAAAAAAAAAGAACTACTCCTGGTCTTTTGTGTTCTGCCCTTCACGGACTTCCCACAACCTCTGGCAAGGCAGGCACATGCTGCTCTCACACAAGTAAAGGAAACCCAAACCCCGAGCCACCCTCCCGCTGCCGTCTGCCCCACCCCTGCAACTCTGCCACCCCTTCCTGTGGCCCAGGACCGTTTGCCCTGGGCTGGCAGGCCCCGACGTCAGCAGTCAGCTACCAAGGCCAAGGTCCTCGCTGGGCCCAAAGGCCCCTGAGATCAGCCCCCTCCAGCCTCATCACTTCCCACGAAGCCTCCCTCGCCTTGGCCTCCAGCTATGCCCCGGCCCTGGAGGCACTGGAATGAGGCTCGTCTCCCTGGGACTCTGCCTCCCCCGCTGCCCAGCCCGTCCCTGGGGTGGCCGATCCACGCCCCTCCCCAGCAGGACAAAGAACCTGACCCCGTATTCCTCTGTGAACTCAGGACGCTGCCTTCCCTGCCCTGGCTTCTAGACTCTGACTCCTGAGGACTGAGGCGGTGTAAGCCATGTCCCTGGCGTCCAGGGCCATGCAGGGCTGATAAATACAAGGAAGGTGGCAGGAGGGAGCGCCGGTCAGCGTGGCTCAGAGTGTCGGCTCTGGAGGCCACACTGCCTGCACTGAGTTCCGGCTCCTGCTAGGGGACCTGGGGCAAATTACAGGACCTCCTCATGCCTCAGTTTCTTCCTCTGTAAGATGGGTTAAATTCAGCACCAACCTCCTAGGGTGGCTATAAAGTCACGCGAGGAGGTTCGTGCTAAGAGTTGATACGAGGACTCGCTATGTCGGATATGAGCTCCTACAAGCGTGAGGGCAACTGGTGGGACCACAAATTAGAAGGCCCAAGACACAGTCCTTGGGGACAGGCCTCCCCTGAAGCCGTGCTGGGGGCCATCTCTGAGGCTACGGTGAGCCTGCCCGCATCCGGAAGCAGTCGCCGACACACCCGGCACTTGTCAGAACCAGTCCTCCGGTAAAGCCGGTAAAGCCGGGGCCAAGACGCCCGGGGCTAACAGTGCCACCCACAGACAGGTCGTGTGCCTGGTGGCGGGGCCCGCAGGGCTGGCCCCGAGAGCGAGGAAGGAGGGCGTCAGAGGCTCAGACAGGGTGGGTCCTGCGATGAGGCCTGCGGCTTTGCTCAGACTTAAAACACGCAGGCCTGACTTCCTCTGTGTGCCCCACTGCCCTAGGCCTCCAAGGCGAAATCACTGCCCAGGCAGAGGAAGCCCACAGAATCTTCCTGTTTGAGGAAGATCCGACAGGTGACTCCTGTGTCTCAGAATCAAAAAATGAACACCTCGGCCCCTCTGGCCAGCCCCGAATGAACTCAGAAGAAGAGGGCAAGGGATTCATCTAATGTAGCCGTTCACGTCCCCAGGGAATGATTTTCCAGGAAGAGGTGACAGTGCTTTCTAAGAAAGCTGATCTTACGAGAGAGATAACATACCATGAACAGCCCTGAGAGACTGCGTCAGAAAAAAGGCGCTGATAAGGGGTGCACGCTCTGGCGGGGTTCTGAGAACCAGTCTGCCCTTCACACACGGGGCCAGCAAGAAGCGCCATCTCCTTCGCGTGTGCCGTGCCTGGAGATCCCTCAGATACCTTACCACCACGCCATCTCTGGGGAGTGGGACGGGGGGTGGGGGGGGGCTCTGTGGGCCAGGGTTTCACACAGGCCTCACCTGCACTGCTGGCACCCATGCCCGGCAGCAGCCCAGAGGCTTCCTCTCAGAACCTGGGCTTGGGGTTCGGGCCCTGCTCTGGCGAGCACCGCCTGTAGGCACCGCACTTTAGCCAAGGGCAGGTCCCCTGGTGGCAGGGTGCAGGGCAGGTACCGTCGGCCGGCCATCTGGACGCTGCTTGGAAGGTGGGTTCCGGGCCTACTTGGAGACCCTCCGTGCCCACCCTGGCTGCAGCCCGCACACAGCAGCCCGGGAGAGGCGGTCCCAGCTGCCCTCACTCACCCGCCGGGTTTTCTCCACGTCGCCACACGGCAGCCGCTTCACAAAGTCAATGCCGGTCAGCGGCGTGCCCGTCGGGGGCAGCAGGATAGAGGCGTCCATCATGAGGTACTCCACGTTCATGGGCTTCATCTAGCAGAGAGATGTCACAGGAGGCCTCAGCGCAGGGAGAAAGGGGACAGGGCAGGTGACATAGGCCCCCCATCCGCCCCCAGCAGCAAACGAGGAAAGCGAGCCCACCTTAAGGCCAGCACTGGACATGAGTCTGTGTTTCCCAAGATGCGGATCTCCCCTCTCCTCCTCTCCCTCCCCTTCCCTCTGCTCCCCTCCCTTCCAACAGCCCAGACACTCTCAGAAGCTGCCTCTGTGCTGTGACAAGCTGTGCTCTCTCACCCTCTGAGGCTCCTCCATCCAGTGGGAGCCCGTCCCCCATGGCAGCTGCCTCACTCTTTGTACCCTCAAGAATGATGACAACAGATCTCAGGACGGCAGCCCCCCTTTATCGAGAGCGGACCGCTGACTGCAGGCAGGCCATGAGCTACAGGCTGCGCCCCCGATCCTATCTAGTCCCCTGAAGATGCCAGAAGGGATGCTTCCCAGTCTGCTGAGAAGATGGACACAAGGCTGGCTGGTGGCAGAACTAAGCTGCAGACTCAGGCGTGCCCTGACCCAGATGTCCTACGACTCCTGCCACATGGCCCCCAACCCCCTTCCTTCCGCGCCCACTCAGCATCTTACCTGGGATAATACAAAGCCACTTACTGAGCACCTACTAAGTTCCGGGCACCTTTGGGCTCAGCTACCCCTGGCCAGCAGAGCTGATGCTGTCCCTTATCACAGAGGGGAACACTCAGCTCTGAGGAAGGGTGTGTGCCCACAGCCACTGGGCCAGACAGGAGCGGAACTATTGTCTATTTCCACACCACCTCTAGGAAGCCTTCTCTGATTACTAAGATGGATGGTAACACCATCTCCTCTCCTGGAACTGTGCTGCATCAGGACTGACACTGAATGTCCACGCATTACTGGACAAACACTTCATGTACTGGACACCCTACAGGAATGGCATTTCCTACACAGGTGAGTTACCTACACAATTAACTTTACTGTTTCAACCATCACGTGCTTTTTTAGGTGTCTTTTTTCTAAAATATAGGAATGACTTTTTTTTTTAATGTGTATTTATTTTGAAAGAGAGAGTGAGAGGGGAGAGACAAAAAGGAAGACAGAGAGAGAATCTCAAGAAGGCTCTGTGCTGACAGCTTGATCCCAGGAACCCTGAGATCATCATCTGAGCCAAAATCAAGAGTTGAACACTTAACCGACTGAGCCACCCTGGTGTCCCGTTATTTATTTATTTACTTTTAAAGACTGTGAGCTTCAGTCATATCGCTTTTGTCCCTCCTGTGACACACAGTTAACTGCACAGAGTGGCTGTGCTGAGGGCCCAGCTGTCTGGCCAGGGAGCCTAGGAGACAGCACACCACCTGCTGCCTTCTTTTCTCTGCTGTAAGCAGTCCCCTCCAAAGGCTGGGGTCCCCCATCCCAAGTCCCTTTACCCCAGGGCAGGGTGGCAGAGCCCTGCGTCCCACCCTGGGGCCACCCTCGGCTCCACCCTGCCCTCTGCAGCCCCCTCTGCTCTGCCCCACCTCTCCCCACCCTGCCCCCCGCCCTCCTGCAGCCCCCCTGCAGCCCCCTCAGCTCTGCCCCACCTCTCTCCATCCTGCCCTCTGCCCCTCCCCCTGCAGCCCCCTCTGCTCTGCCCCACCTCTCCCCACCGCCTTCCAGACTACTCTTGGTGGGAACAGCAGATGGCCCTACTCATTACACCTTCCGTATGACACAGGAAGTGATAAGAGAAATGAATGAGGGTCGAAAATGAAGACGTGGCTTTAGTGCAAGGGTCTCCATAGGCACATCAGCAGCGCCCGAGGGTCTCTCTCTGCTTCATTCAGCTCCTAGAGTTCTGACCTAGAACGGCTGGTTCCTAGAGTCTGACCTAAGGACTAGACTTTCATGGGGCCTGGGGCATGTCCCCTTTGTAGTTCTCTAGGACACACGATGAACATGTGACGAGACAGACAGATGAGGCCCAGGAAGGCCCCTCCGGTGGGAGGGAGGGGAACTCGTGCACACCGTCTATGGGAGCATCTCTTCGGCACTACAGAGCCAGGCCAGGCGCGTGCTGTGGGCCCCATTTTACAGATGGAAAAAATGAAGGCTTGGAATGGAAGCAGGCCACCGAAGGTCACATAGGCAGTGAGTAACAAAAACAGAAAGTGAGCAGGGGCCGAGGAGCCCGGGCTCTACCACCCCGTCAAGCGCCCTCCTAGCCTCGCCATTCACGCCGGGACCCAGACTTTGGAGACATGCAGCGCAGGGGACGTCCCGGGGGGGATAAAACAGGGGCTAACCCCGGGATCCGCTCCACTCCCATTGCTGGTGCAAACAAGAAGTAGGAGACAGAGACAATCTTCCAGGGGTCCAGGGCAATGACGGGGGGCACCGGCCACCACCAGGCACGTCACCGGGGAGGCCTGGGCGCAACTTGGGCCCATCTGGAGATGAAGTGTGCCCACTCACGATCCTCCCTTGAAGAGGCTCTGCAGAGGCCCCGGGAGTGCCGTGGGCAGGGATGTGCTGAGGACCCACGGTCCACACCCGCAAGACGGGCTTGGGAGCCAGGGGCCACTCTGAGCAAGCTGCTGCTGCCTCTGTGGCACTAAGGCTTAGCATAACTTCCCCATCACTGCACTTCTTGATGAGCGAGGTCCACGAGAAGGACATTTATCACCTATTTACTGAGTGCGGGCACAGGGGCAGGTGCGAGGGATGCAGGGAAATGAACACGACAGGGAGCAGCTGTGAACCCAGCTCTTCCCAGGACCGTGCCTGCTGGGCGGAGGCAGCAGGGAGGATCTGAGCCTGTGCTGCGGATTCGAGGACGAGCTGCATGCTGGGACATTCCAGTGGTGCAGCAGAGAAGGGCAGGGTGCTGCATGGGAACTGCTCTGCTCTGGAATCTTGGCTCTCTCTGCCCGGGCTGGGCAGCCTGGGGCCTCACTCAGCCTCTCTGACTCTTGCCTCATCGGTGACGGGAGAAAATGATGGCAGCTGCTCCTGCCGCGGGGGGGATGCGGGACTACACACAACGTGCTTAACGTCCCTGACGCGACAAGGGAACTCAGTCAGGGACCGCTCCATATCGAAGTGAATCTCCCTGACCCATGTACAGCATGACCCACACAGGGGCAGCGAGTGTCATCCGAGATGGCTTCCAATTAATTCAGTTCCCCTCCAACCCGGGCCCTTCGGCCAGAAAGGCCAGAGTGAGAATTCTCGCGGTTCTGAGGGACAGGCCGCACAGGCCAGGCCAGAGCTTTCAGGCCCCTCACTTACCGTCATGCTCCTGTACTCATCTTCAAACATGTCCAAGAAAATTTCTTCTCCCTAAAAAGGAAGGCAGGGAGGGAGATTATACATATTTTTTCCGTAAACACCAAAGTATTATAAACTCCAGTTCATAGCTTGGGGGGCCATCTGGTTCTCATTAGTGAGTTCTAGAAAATCACCAGGAAGTAAAATACACACGTGAGCACGAATACACACGCTCAAACGAAAGCCCGGATATCATGTTGCACCTCTGAATGTCTCTCTCCGTTTTTTTGTTCTGTAAGCATGTGTAGTTAGAGCCGTTCTGTCAGGGCAGCTAAATAAAACAGCAACGTAACAATACCACATACAATTAAAATACAAGAGTGGTTAATACTGCGAATGTTCAACATCGTCTATTTGTCACGAACAGCTGGGGAGATGGGGAAGCCTGGCTCGGCTGCCATGTTAAAACAAGGCGGCTCCACACGTTGGGAAGGAAGCGTGTAATTAAGTATGCTTGACACTGAAATCACACAGCCCGATCCCTTCATTTCTAGGCACACTTGTGAGGGCTGTGGTGGGTGAGAACTTGGCTCTGAGACAGGCACCCCAGGGGCCGGATCCCAGCTTTACCTCTCAGAGCCTCTCTCTGGGATGACAGCCCACATGTATGCGGGTCGCTGTAAAGGGGACACGGGTTCACCTGATCACAGAGCCCGCCACTCAGTCAGGGCTGCTAAATGCTAGCGCTCACGGTCATTATGGGCACCGCCGGATGGCACACAGCTGGGGAGGGGAGGGGAGATTCAGCCAAACGCATCTGGACTATCAGAGCTGTGCTGTCTCTCCCCTAAGTCCTGACTTGCACACCTACAAATACAAACACGTAGTCGGGGTGGGGGGGGGGAAGGAGCGGGCCATTTATGTATTTTTCCGGTTGTCAGAACTAAAGGTAACCTTGAGTCGTCTTGCGTGGTGTAAGTACTACGTAAGAACCACAGAAATCACAACCCTGGAAACATCCAAAAGCTTCTGAGACACTATACTTAGGGTATACACCTTACAGGATAAAAGAATGATCCGGGTGGGAGAAGGGAGCTGCCATTCAAATATGGCTCTCCTTTTGCTAATGATGAAGAAAACCCTCTGGGAAACGTCTACCTACGTATCTCTTTCTGTGTTTGCAATGCAGACACTTGGGGGCGGGCAAGGAAGGGGGAACACAAACTAAGAGCAGTCATCCTGGAAAGAGACCCAAAGATGACTAGCACAGCCCTGAGGCTCCCACTTTCTTCTGGGCTTTGCGGAGGGTGTGCCCTTGGCTGGGGGCGCCCACGGTGCTGCAGCTGCACGGGGCTGTCTAGCCTGGCGGGCGGAGTCCAGAGTACAAGACCTATTTTCTCTCAATGCACACGGACAAGCATGGACAGTGGCTTGCAAAGCTTCCTGCAAAGAAGACAGCTCTAGGGCGTCTGGGTGGCTCAGTCAGTTAAGCGTCCGACTTCAGCTTAGGTCATGATCTCATGGTTCGTGGGTTCGAGCCCTGCACCGAGTTCTGTGCTGACAGCTCAGAGCCTGGAGCCTGTTTCAGATTCTGTGTCTCCCTCTCTCTCTGACCTTCCCCTGCTCATGCTGTCTCTCTCTTTCTCTCTCTCTCAGAAATAAATAAAACATTAAAAAAGAGAGAGAGAGCTCTGGAGCACACATGCTTGGAATTCACGGCAGTTTAAAGACAGTACAAGCAAGGAAAGCGGCTTGACAACAGGAATCGGCAGCGCTAACAACCTTCTCTTCATCAGCCAAATGGAGAGGAAAAACCACCCGATGGGGAGGTCGAAAATCAGGTCCGCTGAATATGGATTAATCCACCTCCTGCTGACAAACTATGTGATTCCCTAAAGAATCCACTGTGCCTTAGACAAGAACAAAACCAAACCACCATGAGGAGACATTTCAAAACTAACATCTGGAATCCGAGGAGGAATCCACAACTGTGTCCGTCACTCAAAGTCACTGTGGTGACTACCCTTAGTAGTCTCACTGCCCTCAGTGATGAATGTCTAGAAGCCTGAAGCCTGTGTGAGGTTTTCTGGCATGCAGGTCTGTACACAGTGTACATGCATATAATTCACAAATTCATACACAATTCAGAGTTACTTTATACAAAGAACATATATAGCTCACGAACCTATCAATTTACATATGTGATTTAGCCACGTGCAGATGTAAGTAATTCACGGCTTGTACATAAATTCGCCAATAAACAAATTCATACATAAGTGATAAACACAGCATCCCACGGTGGCCGGAAGTCCTCAACAAGTGCACGGAGTATCAGAGAGCACCGGGGTAGGGAGGAGGCACAGACGCGTGGCCCACACACGACAGCCCCGGTTACGTGGCCCATGCCACACTGCCGTCCCCTGCGCTCCGGCAACGTACCTTATAGAAATGCCGTACCAGGTGAACGCTTTCTTCTCTGGCGCCCTGTTAAGAGAGAGGGAAGGGGGGAGGGAGGGCAGGGGCTCGGGTAAGTCACCAATTCCGAAATCCCAATGCACAGAAAGCAGGGGAGAGGCCGGGCTACTATCCTTAAATCTATCAGGTGATTCATAGTGAGAGAGGGAGGGAGGATGAGCTCCATGTAAAAACGGGGCAAAAGAGAGGTGATTCAAGGCGGTGACAAGGAAAGGTTTTAACACAGAATTCGGAGGGAAAGCGGGTCATAAAATATGGCCATGGTGACTCCAACTTTATAGACGTGTGTGTCAGTGTATCTGGAAAGACACCCACCAAAGTGTCAACGGGAGTTGTCACTTTTTATCTTTGTCCTTTCTACATTTTCTCAAATAAACACGAAAACTAAGGGGAAAAGCCATAAAAACTGTTTAGGAACAATGAACGCAGGTATCGGCTCAATAAACTGCAAGCAGAGAAGTGTGCATGTGTTTGACTACACTCACGGCCTTTGTAATACAGACAGGAAAAGAATACGATTCCCGTGACAAATACAAGGCCAACGACTGTCACAGAAAGTGCAGAAACTCGGTACTCAGGCGGGCCCCTGGGGACAGCCTCGGAGCAAGGGCGGGGCCTCTGGGGGAGCGGGCAGCGGTGCCCTGCCTCTCGCTGGTGCTGCGGACGCCAGGGCTCCGATCAGGACCCAGCGGCTCCTGCCCACCGCCCCCTCCCCTCCGGTGGAGCACGGGCCGTGAGGGGTCGGGGGGTGGGCTCACCTCCAGGCAGGCCAGGTGTACATCCTTTATGATGCAGCCCGTGCTGGCCACGACTTGCTGCTTCAGGAGCAGGCAGCTTAGCTCCAGCGTCGCCAACCGGATCTTCCCATCTGCCGAGGAGAGCGGGGTCAGCCTCGCACGGCCTAGAGAGGCCCTCAGTCTCTCGCAGTACCCACTGTGAGGGTCCCAGGCCAGCTGAGGGGCCCTGGGCACACAGGGCGTTCATGTGCCAACACCTCCCCAGTCACAAGAGAATGTTCCCCTAAGCGCCCCCATGCCCAGTAACCCCCTGCACTCCCTCTATCAGCGGGGAGGAGGCAGGGAAAAGACTGTTTAGTCCCGAAGGCCGAAAACGCGGCCGTCTGGGGCTGCCCTGCTGGGCTGGGTACCCTCCTCTTTCCAGGAGCAAGCGCCCCTGCTTTCGTTTGGAGAATCAGCAACTCCACTCGTGGGAGTGCAGTTTGGGAGGGCAGCCCCTCTTCTCCATCCCAGGGATGGGCACCTCACCCAGGCCGGTCAGGCGCTCGATTCCTCTAGTCACGGTGATGGGTGGAGGGACGGGCAAGGGAGCCAGGCAGTTAAACCCAATAAGGCTCAAGGCCACACCATGCAGGGACTGCCGGGCACAAGAACCTCCGCCCGTGCTGGGCCGAGAACGGGACAGGGACAGGTGGAGCCTGAGCGGCACGAGCGTTAGCATCCACACGGGCCAGCTCCGCGCCCTCGCCAGCGTTTTCAGTCCCTGCACAGGGCTCTGCCCACCGACCCCAGGTCCTACCTCCCGGGCAGACCCCCCGGAGTGTGCGGCAGGCCCAGCGACCGAGGACAGAAGGGGACGGCTGGAGCTGCCGCCAGTCACTGAGCCGGTGCACCCAGTGCTAGAGTCCAGAGACAGTCCTGAAAACACTGAGCTTCTGTATCCAGCCGTGCCTGAAGCCAGCCTTAAAGTTACACAAGCCAGCAGTTTTGTTTCTGTTTGCGCTGCTTCAGCCAGTGTGAGTCCGGGTTTCTGTGGATGACTGCCTCACCTGCTATGCTACCGTGGGGCGGGCACAGCGCCGAGCGCTTTACAGAGTCCTCCCTCTGGCAGTCTCTGTAGAAACCCGCCGCTCTGGAGGCCAGGGATGAGACAAGTGAAGCGACTTGTCTGCAGCCTCATGCTGGCGCCGGTGGGCTCCAGGTGCTTTCAATGCCAAAAGGCACGTGGCACATGGCTCCTAGAAGCATCTGTGACTGCCTGACGGGAGGGCACCCTGCTCTTAGGTGGGCTCCTCCCTGCATCTTAAGCCCGTTTCTGGGGAGACAGCTCACTGTGCAAGAAGGGCCAGGGGAGGAGGAAGTCCCCAGGCTGCACCCCCAAGGCCCTGGGAGCCCGCGGACCGGGACAGGCTGCTGGGGAAAACTCGGGCAGACGTACCAGGGCACCCCTCCCTGCCCATCCTTCCCTGCTCCACGGGTCAGGCGGGGAACTGGAGAAGAGGGAGCATTTACCCGGAGAGGCAGCTTGGTCTCAGCTGCACGGCTCTTTCTCAGGGCCCCATGGGCCCAGCACGCACACCGCCTGGCCCCACCTCTCACTCCCTGGGGCTACTCTCACTGCGGCCTGCCCCTCCACAGAACCCCGCCCCCCCAGCTCAGCCACGACACCCCTGCGGCCGCCTCCAGGCAATTGGGGTGTCATCTTCCACCAAGACCCTCCCTTGTAAGCTCCCTGCCTTGGGCCCTGTCAAGGGGCGGCTGTCCCTCCCCACCCCAGAGGCCCCTCTCTAATGCCCAGGCCACGCTCTGCCTCCCTCAACCACCGAGCCATCTCGGCTGATGGAGCCCTTGCCCACTGCCCCCCTGAGCCACCGTCCTGGGGACGAGCTCTGTTCCCCACACCGGACCTCTCAGTAGAAACTGACCCCACCAAGTGCCGTGGTCCTGAGCCACACCTGTCCCTCTTGCTGCCCCTCTTCTTCCGTGTGGGGCCTGGCTCAGGCTCCTGTGCTGGCTCCCCCGCTACACCACCTTGAGACACCGCGAGTGGCCCAGGGCTCGGTCCCAGCGGGGGCCCCTGGAAGGCACGCGCCACGCCTGTCCCGGGCTTCCCGTACCCCTGTCATCTGCACGCAGCGGCTGGCCCGCACCAGGCACTCTGTCAACATTCCTCCGCGGGGCCAGCTCCCCAAGCCGCTGTATACCCGCCCCGGAGTCACACGGGCACGGGCCCTGGCCACCTCGTGCAGCCCACGCCCCTTGACCTCTGAAGTCCTCGCGTGCTGTCACAACCCCTGCCCTTCTCTGACGTGGGCTCGGCGCCAGGCTGCTCCTGCCGTACAGCTCAGTGGTGCTCTAACCAGGCCACGGCTCCGTGGGCCCGTCTCTGCCCTGTCACACGCCTGGATGGCCCCCCTCCCTGCCTCTACAGAGAACCTGCCCTGCAGCCGGGGTCCCTCAAGCTGAGCACTGCTGACGTTTTGCACCAGATAACCCCTGGTCCCGTGCAGCACCCCTGGCCCCTGGGGGCCGGCAGCACCACCGCTCCGCGCTGTGACAACCAAAAATGTCTCCAGACATTGTCCAATGTCCCTTGGGGGGCAAAGCTGTCCCTGCCTAGGGACCACTGTGCTTGGTCATGCCTCCTGCCATTTCCAGCCCTTGCCGTGGCCGAGGACCCTCTGCCAAGCCCTCAGAACTGGGCTGACAGGTGCCAGACCCGGGCGAGGTCTTGCACTGTCACAGATCCCGGATCCGAACCTTCCAAACTTCCCTCACGCACACTCTTGGACTGGTTCATGCTCAAACGTGGCCTTGGCCTCCCCAAGAAGGCCACAGGCACTGGCAAAACTGGCAGAAGAAGGGCTGGGTGTGGAAGAGGAAGACAGACAGGGGAGGAAAGAGGAGGCCGTCCCGAGGTGAAGACGTGGCTGGACAGAGCGGTACGGGCGGCCCACAGTGTACATGGCCCAGGGAGCGGCTCAAATCCGCCCATGTCCTCAGAAGGGCCAGCTGTAGGAGCTGTGGCTCCCGGGCGCGGTCCCTCTAACTCCGCTGCCCCCATGGGCAGCCACACCCCAGGCACCTGGCTGGGCGGCGTTGTTCATGATCCTGATGAGTCTTTCAGCCAGGAGGTGGTTGTAGGTGGTCTTGTCGGCCGCACTGGGCACTGGAAGCTGCGTTTGCTCGAGCTTTTCGGGATCCATGCCTGGAATGCAGGAAGGAAGGGACAAGCAGTGAGCAGGGCTGCCTCGTCAAGCGTCCGCTCGCCCCAAAAGGCGCCTCAGAGCTGTGCTGCCCAGCCCCGACGACCCGAGGTCCGTCTTCATCATTTGGGCCATGACGAGCTGTCCGAACTATAGCTGCTACTGAGGCCTCTGGAGACGAATGTCAATCAATATATTAAAACATCTGTTTTCTATCACTGTCTGTAAATGGGGAATCAACATGCTGCAACACTGACAAGGAGCGTTAAAAAAAAAAAAAAAAAGACAAAGCTTTTACATTTTAGCCAAAGGTTGTGGACTTGCTCTGATGCGTATGGTGGTCCGAGGCCTGCTCTCTTAGTTAAAGAGGGGGGTTGGCGGGTATGTGGGAGGTTTGGAAGACATGCCACCCCACACGGTGACATGCTCCTGGACGTCATCAGGGGGACCAGGAAAGGAGTGACTTCTGCACAATGAGCACGTGGCCATCTCATGCTAGGCCAGTGTGCCACCAGAGGCCACCCGTTATCAGACACGCTCCACAGTGGGGGAAGCGCACACTGAGGCAAAGTGACCAGGCGGAGAGGAAACCAGAGTCATGCCCAACCCCACGCTCTTGGCAGTGAACTTGAGGAGCAGGCCCACCGCGGGCGGGGACTGGCACCACACAGGGCGAGGGGCGGCACTGGCGGAGAGAGACCTGACTCGTTCTCATGACGGAGAGGCGCAAATGGGAAGATGTCGATGGCGCGGATCTACCTTTATGGGGCAATCGAGTCCCTTCCCTGCCAGTAAACAAAACAACTAACAGTGTTTCGAGAACAAAAGAGCAAATGGGGGGAGAGGTGGCTGCAGAGAGAAAATGAGGGTGCACAGAGTCCGGATGGGAACCGAGTGTCATTTTCCCTAAAGCGGAGCCTGGGGGCCAGGCAGCAGGAGGGGCTGTCAGGGCGGCATGGGCAGGCAAGGTGTGGAGAAGGGCCCCAAATCCTCATCCCTCGGCGAAGGCGGCTCTGGAAAAATACACTTACAGAAACAAACAGTTCACTGGATCCAAGGTTGGAGAGCTGAATGGACTGTTTGCGCTTGAAGCACGTCTTTTCCTGTTATTCTACAAAAGGGGGAAGGTGGCACTTCTCGGAACTCTTGAAATACGGCCCCTTGAGTACTAGATGACGCTTCATTTAGAACCTTGACAAAACAGCGGAGGACAGCACTGAGGAGCTGATTGTCTGGATTCTAAGTAACTCACACACACACACACACACACACACACACACACACAATGACGCAATAAACCATAACAATATATCTTGCTTTACTGAATTCCTTCCAGCACCGAACCGAAGGCTAAGCCATGCCAGGGAGATGACACGGGTGAGGGACGGCCTGAGGGCTGGAGCCGGGCGGTTCTCTCCCTCACGCCTCACCGACAGTGGCTTCATCAAGACATTTGATTGCAATGAAAATTCAATCTGTGGATTCTAGATCTCATTCTGATGCGAAACATCTAACTCTGAAGCACCCTGGTTTATTAAATGGCAAGAAGAACATCGAGTGAAACTTTTCTGGTGTCTGTTTTTCTTCCCCAGAGACGTCAACACCACCCTGACATAGCTCTAATCCTCCCATTTCTGGCCCCCTGGGACCTGTCAGTCAGTGGTTCCAGGGGAGAAATATTCCTGGGCCGGGCCATCTCCTGGCCCCCTTCAGCAAGGACGGCAGGAAGATCCCGGCGCTGGCTCCCCTGGGAACGTGGCAGTGGTCCACAGAACCGGGACAGTCAGGGGCCTAAACAGGTTCTGGAACTTCCACACGAGCTCCATTTCGTCTCTTTCCTATTACTGCCCCCACTCCCTGAGAACTTGTCAAAAATGAGGCAATCTATGACCAAATCTTCTCTCGACAGGAAAAAAAACCTCCAAGGTTACCCTGACCTTCCTCAACTGGCGGCTCCACTCTCTGTGAAAGGGGGTGGGGGTGGGGGGACCCTGAGGGACTGAAATACTTCCTTGAAGAACTTCACAGGACCAGACTCCAGCACAACCTCCCCCTTTGGTGGGAAATTAGGGCCCAGAGATGTTAAGTCATGTCTCCAAGGTCACAGAGCCGGTTAGCAGCACCGTCAGAACAGGAAGACTCCAAAGGTGGACAAGACCCAGCTCACTGCCAAATGCTATGCTGTTTGGGGGCCGACTCAGGGCCGCGCTGCCCAGGTAGGGTCCTGAAGGAGCGAGCACGTGCCTCAAGCTGCACAGGGAGCAGCTCCAAGGGGTGTGGAAGACCTTGGAGGGGGGCAGGTGGGGGCTCCAGAAGGAAGTGACAGGGTAGACGCTGGGGAAAGGGACAGGCGAGACTTGGAGGCCAGGATCCCTGGCCGGCAGCTGGTGGGAGACAACGTGATCCGGTCGTGCACATGCCTGCCTAGTCTGCAGTGGTGTCCCTTACCTCCCACCCCCGGGCCACTCAGGGTGACCTCTCCCTCCTCAAGGGCACTCTCCCCCAGACTTGGCATTGCAATGCACTCTGTGGGAGGCAGACTGTACCGCCAGCCAACAGGGAGACAGAGAGCAGGGTCGACCCCATACGACACGAGGAAAACCTCTATAAAAATACCCTTCGAACATCTCTGTTTTTTCCCCGAAGTTCCTCCTGGGCCAGGTGCCTCAATTCCTCCCCATCTCTCTCTTTTCCCAGTGTGGCCTCTAAAACCCCTCCTGTTACTCTGAATTATCTCTTCCCGGCCCTTGGCTTTCAACGCCTGTGTGGCAATTCCAAAGCTTCCTTCTTCTGGGTTCAAACAAATTAGTGGCTGAGAGTTGTCAGTAACAAGGCCAATGTCATGATATGACCAGAATATGCGTGTGAACAGGGAAACAGCACATGTGCGAGTATGGACACACACACACACACACACACACACACGTTTCAGGCAGGGAATGGCAGATTTCATTGCACGCCTGTCTGAGTTTCTTTGCTAGCCGTTTCCCTCTGACTGAAATAAACACCGTGGATAATATATTGTCCTATTTGCTTCAACCCTTAAGTGCCGAGCAAAAGAGAAATTCCAAAGAAACCCAGATGCACTTCACATGGGCTGGGAAGATGCGTGAGCGCGTTCAGACTTGCAGCAGGCCACACGCTTCCTGGCTCCCTCCCCGCTGGGGTCAGATCCTGCTCTGTCCCAGTGAGTCAGAAAGGGTCTCCCTCTGCATGACTTCTATCCAGCGCCCACGGGGCTCGGGGGAGGGTGGGGATGGAACTCCCAACCAATTCAGCAAGTCCCAAAGAGAAGGGGAGGGTGTGGCTCCATGATGCCAGAAGGAGCTCCTAAGCTTCCCCTCTAAGTTCTGATTTCTGGATTCTTCCTCCTCAGCAGCAGCCCCCATCCGGGATAGGGGTGGAAAAGACCCAGACCTACAGAGAAAGCTACAGAGAAAGATGCAGACGGACAACCCTGGATGAAGAGACCACAACAGCACCAGGTAAATGACAGGCCAAAAAATGGTTTCCTTCTGGCCACGCGAGGTCTCCTTGGCTGTAGTCACGCAGGCATTGCCAGCTCTGGAGAACTGTGGGCCTGCTATTTCGAAAGCTAACCAGAGGCTGGGTTGGTTCCAGTGTACTTCCAGTTCTGATTATGTGTCACTTGAGCTCCAGAATGATGGTTTGCCAGCTCTCTGCATGGTGGAAGCCTCCCTTTACCCTCTTACCCCTCAACCTTTCCCATACCTCTCATCTGCTTTCCAGTAACTTCTCAGCAAAACAAAACAAGAACCCAAAAGCCCAGGCTTCCTCTCGGGTAAACGATGATAAATGGAGGGTGTGAGAGGCTGGTGGGTGGAGTGGGGAAAACTTGAAGAACAGAAAAGCTGCAGAACTCCCCCCCACCCCGGGCCAGGCCTCTGCAGACTTGACAAAGGAGAGAAGGCTGCATCTGCTATTACAGATATGAACCAGAATTCATTATGTGGCCCAACTGAATCACAACGAGTGCCTTCCTCCAACCGGTCAACCCTTTCCACAGTGGGGTATTCATTTTGGTGCAGCATCTAATCTATTATCATTTACTGGAAGGCCTGAGCTAACATTTGGTTTTTATTAACATTGCTTTTATGTTAAAATTGTCTTATGATGAAAAATCTATTGGAGAGAGACCATTTCATTAGGGGCCCTGCTTAGAGGGTATGGATCTAGAAGAGAAAGACTGAAGGTTAAGTGTGGCTAACTGCGTGCTAACCAAAACCCGCCGACCAGCTGCCACCACCACCACCACCACCACCACCACCAGACCCCTACCAAATGCAGATCCTGTGCTCACAGGCCAGGGCTGGAGCAGAAGCTGGATGGGAGCTTCTGGCTAGGCAATTTCCTTTGGGGTCCCCCGGGCACCTGGGCCCCAGGTACCACACCTAAAGTGTCCAGCTTCCTCTCCAAACATGCTCGATGGCCCATGCTCGCTGGTTCTAGAAACGACACTACCAGGGGCAGGGTCCTGGGCATCGCTCAGACTCCTCCCTTGGTGCTCCCTCCCCTCCAAACCAGGCAGGACTCCCTCCCCCAAGCCCTGCTCCTCTCCTTATCTCCCCCTCTTCGTAAACGGCTCCACACAGTTGCCCGGGCATCCCCTTCACTCTGTCCCCACAGCCAGTGTATCAACGTGCCCTGTTTCTAGGTCCCAAACATACTGTAAAACCTTCCAATTTCTCCATCTCTACAGCCAACATGCCGACCCGTCCACATTACCCTGTGTGGCGGCTTCCTACTGAGCCTCCCACATCCCCTCCTGCGACCCTCTTCCTTGCCCCCTTAGTCTACTTTCCATCCAGGAGCCGGACTGGTCTTTCAAAGATGTCCATGTGATCATGTCACTTTTCTACTAAAAAATCCTTGGGGCACCTGGGTGGCTCAGTCCGTTGGGCATCCAGCTTTGGCTCAGGTTGTGATCTCACAGTTTGTGGGTTTATGCCTCATGTTGGGCTCTGTGCTGACAGCTCGGAGCCTGGAGGCTGCTTCGGATTCTGTGTCTCCCTCTCTATCTGACCCTCCGACGTTTACACTCTGTCGCTCTCTCTCAAAAATAAACACTAAAGGGGCGCCTGGGTGGCTCAGTTGGTTAAGCAGTCGACTTTAGCTCAGGTCATGATCTTGCACTTTGTAAGTTTGAGTCCCGCATTGGGCTGTGTGCTGACAGCTCAGAGCCTGGAGCTCGCTTCCGACTCTGTGTCTCCCTCTCTCTCTCTGTTCCTTCCCTGCTCACATTCTGTCTCTCTGTCTCTCAAAAATAAATAAATGCTAAAAAAATTTTTTTTAATTAATAAACACTAAAAAAATTTTTTTAAAAAGATCCTTTAGGGATCTTGGAATAAAATTGAAATTCCTTTCCATGGCCTTCAAGGCCCTCCAACATCTGATCCTCACCCAGCTTGGACTACTTTCTGATCCTCAAACCAGTAAGCTCTTCCCCACCTCACGGCCTTTGCACACACTGTTCCCTTCGCCTGGAGTACATCTGCCCTGATCCCAGCAGAGCAGACTTCTTGCTTGTCAGTCCACCGCGGTGTTCCTTCCTCAGGGCAGCGCCCCCTGACCATCCTAGCTTGTAACCCCCGCGTTGCCACCGCCACCACAGCTTCATCCTCCATCACAACACAACCCGGTTTCTTCTCGCTCATGTGATGGAGCCTCATCAGACTCGTCCCAGCGACCAGAATGACGCCTCACACACAGGAAGTGTGTGGCACCCAGCTCACAAATGACGAAAGCCCTTCACTTTCACCTCCTTGACACTGTCCACACCTGCTCGTTATCTCTCCATCCTGCCGGTCTTCCGGCCGAACTTTGGTGAACCCTTTCCAAGGGACGCAGAGGGGTCAGATCAGTTCCCGGAGGAACCCACCATCAGCAGCCCCCTGGCCGTCACTGCCCACCCTCTGCCTGCAGACTGGCTCCAGCCACCGCTCTCTTGGGGCGCCCTGCCCGCCCACCTGATGAGCGGATGGCGGTCCCGGCTCCAGTCAGCCTGGGGTCTATGGGCGCCCAGGCTGAGTACACTGCCCAGCACACGGTTGCGGCCTATGTAAGTAACGAAGTAACTTCAAGAGCAAATTCTTCGTGACTGACGCAGCCTTCTGGAACCACAGGAGATTGGAGACAAAGCGGTCACTTTCAAAAGAAGGTAAACACCATGCAGATTGTGCAACGCTTTCCTGCCCGCACCACCTCCGGGGCTTGCATGGCAACAGGACACAATCAGAGCTCCTCATCGCCGCGCGTCCCCGCTCGCCTGTTACACTGCGTCACCTCCCACGCCACTCGCCCAGCGCCCTCCACAGCAGCCACAGTCACGTCCGTGAAAGTGTGCGTTTGGTTCACCACTGTGCTCTCAACACTAACCACAGTGCCTGGCATCTAATAAATAAGGCTCCCAGGGTCTCTGCTGAGAGGCTGAGGGAACGCATAAATGAATAGCACCAGCAGGAAATGGAAGAAGGAATTAAATTATACACTTCTACTCTTTTAAGAAGGAATCCCCTTCGATGTCGAGGAGGAGGGAGAGGAAGTGGAGGGGAGAGGAGGAGGCCTCAAGAAAGAAAGGGAGGCGTCCCGGACAGGACCTGGGCGAGGGTTGTTGGGGGGGGGGGGTCCCTCCAGGGCCCAACACTGGACGAGGGGCCGCCTCCCTCCCGGGTGCACAGGTCGGGCTCCAGGAAGGAAGCCCGTCAGGAAAGCCAGCCACCAGAGAGACAAAGTGCCCCTTGGCCTCCTGGAGCCTGGCATCCCCAGCACCTTCCGAGCTGGGGCCCCGAGCTCAGGCTGCCAGAAGGAGAAAACTCTGGCTGAGCATGCAGTCCGGGTGCCAGGCACTAAGCTGGGTACCTCAGGGGGTCATGGGGACATACACAGCCTCCGCCTTTAGAGACCAGGCAGCCCGGAATGACGGAGAAAATATGGAGAGAAAGAGAGACAGAAAAAGTGCCACAGGACCTCCATGGAAATGTAAAATAGTCCGCTCTTCAAAAGCCATGGTTCGCTAATGAAAAGACAAGTCACAGACTAGGAGGGAACCTCTGTAACACTCACCTGATAAAGGACCCAGAATGTATATTAAAAAAAAAAAAAAAAAAACCTCAAGGCTCAACAATAAGATGAACAATCCAAAAAAGACCTGAAATAATACTTCACCAAAGAAGACACACAGGAAAGGGGTGCCTGGGTGGCTCAGTCAGTTGGGCATCCAACTTTGGCCCAGGACATGATCTCACAGTTTGGGAGTTCAAGCCCCACATCTGGCTCTGTGCTGACAGCTCAGAGCCTGGAGCCTGCTTCAGATTCTGTGTCTCCCTCTCTCTCTGCCCCTCCCTTGCTCACACTCTGTGTCTCTCTCAAAAATAAATAAACATTAAAAAAAAGAAATAAATAAAAAAGACACACAGAATGGCAAATGAAGCACAGAGAAAGAAAGTCGTTATCATTAGTCATTAGGAAAATACAAATTAAAATCATAACAAGACACCACGACATACCTATTCAAATGACAAAAACTGAAGAGTACTTGCCAAGTACTGGCCACGATGTAAGGACCCCTCACACACTGGTGATGGAATGCAAACTATACAGCTACTTTGGAGAAAAAAGTGCCAAGTGTTACTTGGGGAGAGGGGTGGGAGCAGACGGGGGGAGGGTGACGAAGGGCAGAAGGAGGGGTCTGGGGTGACGAACACGTCCGCTGTCGCGACTGTGGTGAAGCCATGTGGTGATGGCTTCACGGGTGTGAACAAATGTCAGAACTTATCACAGTGTACGCTCTGGATGTGTATAGTCTGTTGTATGCCGATTGGACCATGTCTCAAGTGTCATGGCCTTCAACCAGGATGGGTTGGATTTACCCTCCTGATTCAAGCAACTAGAAGACCAGGCAAAAGACAGAAAGCAGTGATTATGACACACTGGACAGGACACACAACAGCGCGGGGCAGTGACCCTGTGAGGGAGGAGATGAAAGCAGTGGGCCCAGGGCCTGCTCCAGTTCACCGTATGGAAAGAGTACCCCGGCCTGGGTCCAGAGAGAGAAAATCCCAACAAAGGCCATGATCTCTCTCTGACAAGAAGGCAGGGTTTGGAGTTCAGATGGGCCAAGTGACTGGAACTGGGAGGAGGGAGGACCAGACAGCCAGAGGGTTCCTTTGGGGCGTCAGCTAAGCCCTGCTCTGTGCATGCGTGTGTGGGGAAGGAATGACCTCCTGGAATGCAGCAGGTGGAAGGATCTGGGGCTCATGCAGCACTGACAAGAGTTTGTGTTCCCAGCGGCCAGTGTACACAGACCACCCAACCATGACCCACCAAGTACAGTCCTCAGAAAGGGGGGCCAAGTGAGCCTGAGACTAAAGACTGTTCTGGACCAGCAACAACAATGCTTAAAAGCCTCCAAAGGATCAAACCAATTCTATGTAACTTAACCATGACCCAGGACAGAGACCAAAAACCAAACCAGGAGACAGATCTCTAATAGAAATATAGCCAGAATTTACACAGATGATACAACAGACACGAAAAATTCCTAGGGAGGTTATAAAATATTTTAAACTGAATAAAAATCAAACCACATCTATCAAAATTTATTGCACCTAAGCATATACTTAATGCAGTGCTTAGAGGGAAATTTACAGCATTAAACTCTTATCAGAAAGGTTAAAAAACAATGAGTGGTATGGGAAGGGTATGACTGAAAAGGAATAATAGCATGAGGGAAGTTCCGGTTAAAGGGACTGTAATGTATCCTGATTAAGGTGGTGTTGACCAAATCCACACCTGTGCTAAAAATCATACAACTACACACAAAAAGGATTAATTTCACTGTATGTTAAATTTAAAAAAAAGAAAGAAAAAACCGATTAGCTTAAAAAAATCAATGATCTAAGCTTCCATCTCAAGAAACTACAAAAAGAAGAGTAAATTAAATCTGAAGTAAGCGGGTAAAGGTAAGAAATAACGAACAGGAATTAGTAAAACAGAAAACAGAAAAACAGTACAGAAAAATCAATGAAACCAAAAGAAAGTGTTTTGAGTATCCATAAAATTAACATGAAATTGTTAAATCTTTAGCCAAACTGATCAGGAAAAAGGAAATGAAGACTAAACTATCAATACCATGAATGAAAATGGGGACATTACTACAGATCCTACAGACATTAAAAGGACAATAAAGGAATATAATGAATAAACATACGCCAATAAATTTGACAGTTTAGACGCCATGAAAAATTCCTTGAAAGACACAAGCTATCAAGGTTCACTCAAGAACAAATAAAGCTTCATTAGCCCCATATCTACTGAAGAATCTGAGTAGCTAAAAATCTTCCCTCAAAGAAAGCTCTAGGCCCAGATGGATTCACTGGTGAATTCTACCCATCAGTTAGGGAAGAAATCATACCAGTTCTATAAAAACCCCTCTGTATAGTCCAGGAGTAGGAAATGCTTCTGAATTAATGCCATAAGGTAACCATAACTCTGAAAGCAAATAAAACAAGAGAATTACTAGGCCATAAACCAGTATCACTCTTGAACATAAATGCAAAAATCCTTAGCAAAATTTTAGGCAAGTCAAATTCAGCAACGTATAAAATGTGCCTGCCACATTAGATGGTACTAACTAACCCCAAGTAAGCATCACCTGGAGGGATCAGAAAAAATCCTCCTGGAAAAGGTGACTTCTGAGCAGACCCTTGACAGGCAAGTAGAATTTCAATCGATGGGGACACTGGGGTAGAGAAAATGGCAGGAAGCAACACAAATATAAGAAGGTAGAAGACTCGCCAGGAAGAGGTAGGCATGTTGGCACTGACCGGGGTGGCTGCCAGGTTTCCAGAGAAGCTTAGCTCTCTGCGAACAGCCCCAGTCCCAGGACCCTGGGGCCAAGGCTGTGCAATACGATCCTGACCCCCAGCCATAACTGAATGTTCCAGAGTTAGACACGCCACCAAAAGCCGGAACAATCAGATCTTTTGCCCAAGAATTTGAAGCCTGAATGGGAACAGACTCTCAGCCTGGGATCTGCTGGGGCCGAATCACAATCCACCTTGAAGGAAGTCCCCAGAGCTGGTTGGTTTCTGCCCTTCCCTCTGCTTTTCAGCAACTTCTCAGATCCTGGGAGCTACCCTGGGGCCTTCCTATAGACTTTCTCTTTTATTACTTTAAGTTAATGAGCAGTAGTTTCTGTTCCTTGTAACCAGAACTTTAAAGAGTTCAGGGAGTACCGTGTCGGCATCCCCAAGTTCATCTCTGTGAAAGAGTTCTACCGCTAGATAAAAATTTGAACCCAGAGCCAAGGGTCTGTGAAGGGAAGTCAGAGGAACCAGATCAGGTTGGAATGGTGGGTGTGGTCTGGATCTTCATAATGACAAGGAGAGGAGGGAGGAGTTTAAGGGAGAGAAGAAGGCACGAAGGGTTTCTAAACGGGAGGGACATAGTCCACACGGTCTCAGAGGATCACCTGGCAGTGCTATGCAGGACGGATTACGAAACAGCCGGACGTGAGACCCCTGGGGAGGCTGTGATGACGGCCTCTGGAATGAGGTGCCCAGACCTCTCCCACTCTCATGCCTCCAGCTCTCACATGCACATCTAGCTTCGAGCCAGGCTCCAAGCTGCACTTGGTTCAGTTCTGCTGATCAGATAGTCGAAGATGGAGGACTGACAGAGGCTAATGACGAAATGCTAGATTGAAGGAGGGAAGGAGCTAATGGTCATGGCAGTTTCAGCTGTGGTTGGCAATTTCAGCCGAACCAGGGACAGCAGGAAGTGTGGGGAGCTCAGGGTGAGCTGCAGGGTGGACGGCACGGTGCCTACGGTGCTGCCCAAACCCCAGAGTGGCGGTCTTCTGCGTGCAGCCGGCAGGAGCTCAGACCACAGAGGGCACAGAAGCCAGGTGCAGGGGAGCGGCGGGCGATCCTGGGCCAGGTCAGTCAGCCTCAGGGAGTTCTGCTTCCGCCCAAGAATTGAGGGTTCCTGCATATCCCTCATCATGCCAGGCACTAGAGGGGAGCACAGAGGCCATGGGATCGAGTGAGCGAGCCCGGAGGGAGACGTCTGCTGGACTCGGAGCCTGCTGGGCGCCTTTGGGAGGCCTCTGGCTGGGTGCACAGACTCGCACAAGAGCACGGTGACTTACACACACTGGGTGCTCTCCATAAGTGGGAAAAGCCTGGGAAGAGTTTCATGCCACTGGATAAGGGGACGATGGCAGAATAAATGATGCACAGACAGAACGATCAAAAGGGGTACGGCAGTTCTCCAGGGATGTGATGCTCAGATATGTGACGACATGGGGGAATGGGTGTTTAGGTGCCCCTTATTTCCGGTTCGCTGGGGGGCAGTCGCAGAAACAAAATCATACCCACTCGTTCTTGGGTCGGCATGGGTATCTTTAATGAGACACACAAGGAACTGCTAAGATGAACTGACTTGAAGAAGAGGGTGGAGGATAGAGATGGGAGGGGCTTTTTTTTTTTTTTTTACCATTTTTTTTTTGCCACTAGTCCACTATTTACCAGGATTAATGATTTAAGACTAAATATTACGTCAAGTGCTTCTGAAATGTCTCTAGACACGGGCTCTTAGTGAAACCCTCCTCCCCCTCCCAATTAGCTTATGAAAAAGCTACTAAAACATCACCTGCGACAAAGTCTCCTCCACGCCAAGCCCAGCCCTTGGCAGAGGCCAGAAAGAATGTCCTGGATTTCTTTGCAGAGATTGTGAGGTGGAGGTTTCAGAACCCGCCCGTGTCAGGCCAGGTGGGGCATACACCAGCCGTCCTCCCCAGTGAGGAAGTGACTGAATGGATCCTCACCAGATCTGTCAGCTCCGCGGGACTCTGATCCTGACCACTCCACCTCAATGGGGGAAGCCGGAGAACCACACCTTTCTTCAGAAAGGAAACCTTCGCTTCCACCCAATCCGCCCAGAGTCTATTTTAGCCCTCAACGCAGAGCAAGAACTTCAGCTGTTATAAATAGCAAAACCAAGATCACAATGTGACTGATTTCGGTTCTGATGTTAGGAAAAGAGGTCGGGTGCTCAGCCAGTTGTAAAAAGCAAGGGGTCGAAAGAAAACCACAGTGTGAATATAGTCATACCGGCTTAGCCAGGCACTTGAACCCTTCCTCCCACCCGCCATATTGCCTGAGAAACCAGTTCCTGTGGCTTTGGTCTGTGCAAAAGCACCTGAGAAATTCTGTCGAGGCCCAAGAGTTTTGTGGGAGTCCACCAAAACCAGAAAGGGCATTCCTCAAGGAGAGTGGCTTTTTTGGTTCCACAAGGCAGAGGAAGGGGTGCCAGGAAGGCGGGCGAGGTGAGGATGCTTACCTTTATTATGAGACATGGCATATAGGAGGCAGAGCACAAACAGCGCGTGGTAGTCATCGTCCGGGCTGTCCAGGGCGTGGTACACCATGTCTAGGAAGGGTCTGGAAGAGAGAAGGGGTGCATGTGAGACGCTTGGCACACACAGGGACCGCTTCTCCTTGCCCACTTGCACATGGAGCACAGGCCGCCTGTGCCTCGCACAGCTCTGCCACCAGCACGCAGCGAGCCCTCCGAGAGCCCCATCCAGCACCAGGTGTGGGGGACAGGCTCTGCCCGTGGGAGGCTATCTCCAGGGGAAAGTGACAGAGGACCAGACCCCATAATCCCACAACAGTCGTGCCCCAGCTGTTCTAGACACTGGGGGTAAGTGATGCAAAGTCCCCGCTCCTGGGGCACTCCCATACCGCGGGACAGACCGACCACGTCATCGCTGCAAAGAGCCAGGAGTGCATGAAGAAGTGGGGGCAGCGTGGTAGACAGATAAGACCAGACAAAGCACCAACAAGTCCGAACAACTTCAGAACGTGGGCCCTGGAGCCAGACTGCCTGGGTTCCAATTCGGATCCTGCCTCTTCTTAGCTGTAAACCCTTGGGTGAGTTACCTAAAACCTCTCCGTTTCCCTATCGGGAAGGGAGGGGCTCAAGGGAAACTATAAAGGGCGTTTAACACAGGCCCAGGTGCTCAGTGCCAAGTGTGCTTGCGTGTGCGAGCTGAGATGGGATCTCCGTCTTGCGTATTCCAAGGGCATCCTTCCCAAGAACTCACTCGGACAGGTGCTGACCCGGCAATTTCTTGGACAGACTTTCCTTGACGGGTAAGAAGCGATGTGAGGTCTCACTTCCAGTGCTCTGTGCAAAGACCACAAACTGCACACCCCTAATGCTGCCCTTCCAGGGGAAGGGCCCGGCCTGGGAAGACAGAGCAAGGATGTTCATCACAAGGATGTCAGGACATGCAGAGACATGGCCCCACAGGGAGGAGGCTCGAGCCCATGACCAACTGCAGTCACCTCTCTGGATGCGAGGCTAAGGCCGAGAAAGCAGAGCACCTCGGTGAGTGACTGAGGGCACACACAGCTCCTAGAAGGACGCATAGCCACTGTCACCACCACCGTGTGGGGCAGAGAAGAGGTGTGGCGGACACACGGGGAGATACTTCACTGTATAACCTTTTAGACTTTAAGAAAAAAAAAAAATCTGAATTCCATAAACGTACCAGTGATTCAAAATATTTAACTGGAAAAGGCCAAAGAGAAAACAGTGAAAATGTTCTTGTGGTAACTTTTTAAGTGAACACTGGACACTCAGAAATTGAAGGAAGAACCCTTTCTGAAAGGGGGGATTTATGTCCGGGCGGTTTCTCCAGGGCCCCAGACCTTTCCCGCCCCAGATCCGGTACCTTTCAGAGGTCTGAATAGTTTTGCCATGTGTGGATTTGGGTTTCTGCAAGTTCCTGGCAATAACACTTCCACACTTGAGAGCGGGATAAAACGTTTTCTTGTAAACGAGCCGCTTGGAATGTGGATTGTGTTTCGTTTGGGAGCAGGACACATAACCAAATGCCCAGGAACAGAGGGAGGGCTAGGGGCACATAACATCCTCTAGGAGATGAAGTGTCATCAAGGCATTAGCATTTTGCTGAGAGTACAGTACAGGGAAAAAGACGCCTGGGGTTTGGTATCAGGCAAAAAACAAAAAAACAAAAAAACAAGACAAAATGATGGGCATGGTACAGCCTACATCCTGGGCAGGGAGGGCGCGATTCCCACTGAACAGACAGTGAAAAGCAGCTAGCAGAAAATAACTGGAATGTCAGCAACAGCTGCCGTTGAAACAGGCATCACGCAGATCTTTCCCCTTCTTTATACATTTTTTTCAAAATGTTTTTACATTTTCTGAACGTATATTACTTTTGTAATTTTTTTAAACTTTCTTTTTAAGAAAAAAAAACGCTTTAGAACATTTTTCAGCGTCTTAGTCCCATACTTAACCCTGAATGCAGATATAGCTCACGATAGACCAGGAAACGGAGAACAGTTCCGCTTTATACTACGCTGTTTCTGCAGGCAAGTGGGCCAATGTCAAGATGTAATTCATGTCAAAGAGAGCAGTCCGCTCCCTCCCTCCCACAGAGCGCCCTCCTCCCTGCTCAGTGCCCGGAACCAGGAGGGGAGAAATGGTGGCAGTGTTTCTGACAACCCACAACTCAACACCTATGCAAAGCAGAGGGCAGCTATCGACCTGGGCCAGTCACTCATTGGATTTGGTCTCAGAGCAAAGTAGGGTTTCTGGGGCCACAAGCTTGCATGTGGGTCCAGCTCGAGGCCCCAGGCTCAGCTTCCATCATAAACCATGTGGTAGAAGCTGCCAGTTTAAGTCCCCGAAAGTTAAGAAACAATCTGAATCCACTCAAAGAAAAGCCCTTTCTTCACTAAAAATCAGGGGGGGGAAAGAAATCTCAACTGAACATTCAAACATAACATCTTGATCTATTCACTTTTTTTCAAAAAATAATACATGGTTGTTTTTCTTCGTTTAGCAAAGCTATATTACCATACTAAGTAAAATAGGTGCTCGGTTTCCATTTTTTAGATCCTAAGAAACCCAATGTTTCCTGACCGTATTCACTGAAGAGCAGCAGCTGATATTCTATGGAGCAGATGTTACCCCATTTGCTCATGCAGCCCTGCCGCTAGTCGTTTGTGGCTTTTCCAATCATTCATATCCTAACTAATGCTGTGCCTGAAAACGGAAGGTTGTTCTCCCATCCCTTTCTGTGTTTAGAAGGATCCCCTTCACTTTCATAGATCCTGGAGTTACGTTTTTCACTGCCAAGCAAAATCAAAAAGGTCTTTATAAGTTCCAGCGGCTGACAGCCCACACCACACTCCAGTGTTTTCTGTTTAAACCAAATTACAAATGGCCCCCTTGTGCATGTGACAGAAATTAATCCTGTCTGTTAGATAACGGAAACATTTGCCAAGCCAAGAGATGTGGAGGAAAAAATTAGTGTGCTTCGACTCTTCACTTCAAGCTGGACTAATAAAGAGCACAGTGTGTGTGTGTGTGTGTGTGTGTGTGTGTGTGTATTTCAGCCACCCAGCCCTGAGAATCCAGGAAGTGAAGGCTTTGTAGGATGATGTGTTGTGTTTATTATTTTTTAATGTTTTATTTATTTCTGAGAGAGAATTTATTTCTGAGAGAGAGAGAGAGAGCATGAGCAGGGGAGGGTCAGAGAGGGAGGGAGACACAGAATCTGAAGCAGGCTCCAGGCTTGAGCTAGCTGTCAGCACAGAGCCCGACGCAGGGCTCGAACCCACGAACCGTGAGATCATGACCTGAGCCGAAGTCGGATGCCCAACCGACTGAGCCACCCAGGGGCCTCAGTGCTGTGCATTTATTTTAACCCTAAAGTAGGATCGGGTTAGTGTGGGGGTCAGTGATGTGGGGCCACTTGTTAAGGAAGTAGCTCTGAAAGGAAGAAGCCCTCCTAACAGCCCAGTGCACACTGTGGGAGCAGCCTTCCACCCCGTCTCATTCTGGAAGGGGCGGTGCTGCAGCAAGCTTCTGGGAAATTTGGCATCTGCAAGGTTTAAGAGGATTTAGCTTCAGTGGGCCATCAGCAAGATGAAAAGCCAGGCAAAAAGTCGAAGGTGGACAGCAGCACTAAATCACAGGGGCCGAGCCACAGGGCAGGCCCCGTGGGCTGCGGGGTGGCATGGCAGTGAATGACTGAGACGGGGCGATCCGAGTGGGGCTTGCAAGGGGCTCTTTCCTGGGAGCGACGGAACGTTGCCAGGAGCGGCCAGTACGAGGCCACAGGGTGGCCCACGCCCTTGAGGACAGGGCACAGCACCAATGTGCTTGCGGGGGGCGGGGGGGGGGCGGGATAGCGCCATGTCTGAGTCTTCCTCTTTCCAAGGGCTCAGCGCTACAGTGTTGAGTGTCAGCTCCGTCCCCGTGGCCACTGGGGGATGGAGGAGCAAGGAGAGGCGGGAGAGGCCCCCGGGTTACCTCTGGTGGGCACCGCAGCCCCGGCACCGCTCCCCCACCCACCCCGCTCAGCCCACCTCCCCGCCCCGGCGATGGACCAGCACCCCCCACCCCGGCTGGCGGGCGCCCCACCCGCAGCACCTGCTCCACTGTGCGCTCTCCAGGCCCGTGGCGGCGCTCTTCTCCTCGTCCGTGGTGTTCTGTTCCTGAACGGAGGTGCCGGCCGCCAACTCTGGGACCTTGCTGCGCTCCATGATCACCATCTCTATCTCTAGGAGCAAGCACAGACACCGGGAGGGGCTCAGACAGCTTCGTGGACCCAGACTTACAGACACAGCCGAGCTGCAGACGGAGCCCGAGTGAACGGCGCCTAACACGTCCAGCGAGGGTTTGCCGGCAGTGACGGAGCCTCGGCAACAAGCCAGGGACAAATAACACAGAGGCCAGAACCCCTCTTTCCTCTCATCCTGGCAATTCCAAGAAACGTGACCCTGACTTTGACACAAAAACTAAAAAAGTAAGCACAAATTGCAGTTGCTTATTTAATCTCAACGTGTTTTTTAAGACACTTATTCTACTTTATTGATATCACACTTCTTCCCAAAGAAATGGAGGCAGCGCAGGAAAAATGACACGTGGTTAATAAATCATAACCAAATTCACAGAGACTGTTCTAAAACCGTTTACACACTAGAAAAGGCTCTGACTGGCCTGAAGCCTTTTGTTTTCCCTTTCCACCGACAACTTCCAGAAAGCAGAGAAACATTAGGAACCTCGTTGTATTTTTCCCAAGTAAATAAGGGCAATTTGGAGCAACCGACTGAAGCATGGTGCACATTTTTAGGCTTCCGGAAGAGATACGGACCAAGAGAGGAAACCATCTCCAACTGGGGACGGTTAGCTGTTGGCTGTAAGGTGTGCCTGTCACGGAGTTCTTTGACATGAGGGTGTGTGGACCTCTAAACAGCGAGTTCTTGGAACCCAGAGTCCAGGTCACCTTCCTCCATCTTCAGGATATGGAGGAGGGAAAAGTCCGTGGACGTGTGAGCCTGCACTTGCCCCTCGAGGGACAGCCCTCGACAGCCACGGTCTTCCCCTGCACTTGCGCAGGGGCCTCCTGCCCGGCCTCTGTCTCCCTTTAGCCCTGGTTTGTCCTCCACCCAGACTCAAGTTATTTCAAGTGGAAATTAGCTCATGCCGCCCTTCTGTTCAGAACTCTCCACCGCCTTCCCGTCACTCAGGATGAACTCCAAATGCCTTCCAGAGTGTCGAGGACTTGCACGGCCTGGCCCCTGTCCACTTCTGACCTCACTGCCTGGCCTCCTCCACCTCACGCCTCTGCTGCTGTGCGGTGAGCGTCTTCCATGCTCTTTGATGTTTGCGCCCCAGGATCGTTACATGGCCGCCGGGGACGCTCGGACCCCAAGTCTTCCCTACCCTGGCCTATTGCAGTCACATCCTTCAATGCCCAGCTCAGATGCCGCCACCTCAGACAGGCCTCCTCAGGCACCCTCTACACCTGTTTTTCCTTTTCCTCTTTAAGTTATTCTCTCCAATCCACATTTCATTCCTATTTCCTCAGTTCTTCCCTCCTGTCACTTTCTGTTGCGGGATCCCGTCTAGGGCACCCTGTTACACCCAGTCATCACATCCCCTTGGGCCCCTCTTGGCTGTGGCCAAGTATTCCACTTCCTCACTTCTGGTGACCTTTCGGCTTTGAGGAGAGAGAGCTGGTCAGGTATTTTGCAGAACGTTCCTCACCTGGGTCTGCTGTTTTCTCATCACTAGACTAGGGCCACAGGTTTCCGGGAGGCAGCCCATGCAGGAGGGCTGCCCTTCTCACCCCGCTGCAGCGAGGGTACAGGCTGCCAACACGGCTCCATGTCAGCCTGTGTGAGGTCTACACCACTTGCTGGGGCTAATGCTGGTCACATCTCCCCACTGGAAAGTTACTTGCCCTCCTCCTTTCCCTGAATACTCTGTGGAAGCAAGTCATTAAGCGCAGCCCACATTGAAGGAGCGGGGAGTTACTATGTTCTATCTCCTGGGGCAGGGAGTAGCGACATAAATTATGTGGAATTCTTCTCAGTAAATGTGTCCCTTCCACCCCCATCTCAATTTTACTTCTCAGTAATGGTAACAGCCCGGATTTTCTCTACTCTATTTACTAGTGTGCTCACTAGCTCTCTGCCTTCCCCCACAAGAACGCGGGTTTCGTAAGAGCAGCTGCCTTGTCTGGCTCACTCTCCACTGGAGCTCTGGGGCCGAGCCCAGGGCCTGCTACAGGGCATGTGCTCAGTGACGGCACAGACAAGCGGACGAGGCTCTGGCTGCATGCAGGGCCGGCAGGGATGCACGCGTGGCCACTCCAACACAGGACAGGTGGCCCAGAGCTGCACCCAGGCTGCCCTGAGCGTGCACGGGATTCTCACAGGAGACAGCACGTGCTCAGCGCCTCTGAAACCCTGCCAGGCAGGGGAGCACCTGCGACTGCCCTTGGGCGTGGACAAGGGCCTCCCCCAACCGGGCCACACGGGCCTCGACCACCAGCCTCGACTTCCCAGTGTGGCCTGGAGTCAGACGCCGCAGCCTGGAACCCCCACCGGGCCATCCCCCTCGCCCAGGTGGGAGCCAACCATGATCTTCAAGTGGTGTGCAAACTACTTGTTGGCGTTGCTCTGTGTTTATTTTTACGTGCACTGGAAGAAAATTCTAACCGCACGGAAAGCCTGTTCTCTCACTGTGGCTGTCACTACTTGGGAGGAGGCAAAACTTAAGGGGAAAGAGCCAGTCGATTCACAGGGAGCTGTTGAGTCAACAGCAGCCTGGACGGTCAGGGCCACAGCCAGGAGCGGGCAGTGGCACAGAATGGGGCTCGCTCCCGCTGCTCCCGCCTGAGCCTGCACCCTGACCCCCGCCAACCCTTCAGCTGCCTCCCAGGGAGCCAGACCTCTCTGCCGTGGGGCAGACACCTCATATTTTTAATTATTCTCACCTCTAAAAACCCTGTACTGCTTATATTGTTTATGACGTTAACACAGCAATACAAATATGGATAATTGACAACAAGGAAAATGCATCTATACTTGGGAGGCTCACGCTACGATCACAGATCTATATGGTTGTTTTGTGTTACTAACGGAGCATCCCGGCAAAAACATCTCAACCGCAGCAGGCCAGCCTGCGGTGCCAGCCTCGGCTTCGACCCCGCGGCCTGTGGCACACCTCCCGGACCGCCGCAAGCGCCCCTGCCTCCCGGCCTTGCTGGTGAGGCTGGAACTCAGCTCTGAGGGCCCCCCGAGGTTATGGGGCCGAGCCCCAGCACCCCAGTCTACAGGGTGCGCTGCTCTGACGTGGTCGCTCCCTTTGGGTTCTTTGATGTCCCTGGACATGCAGAACTGTGGGGCAGCAGAGCAACTCAATATAATCCAGCCGCGCTCACCGAATTTAGTTACGAAGGGGCACACTGATTGAACGACAATTTCCCATGGCATACGACCGCAGTGAGCAGACGGGACCGGGGCTGCTCCAGGTAAGGGTGGGTGGGCTCCCCAACATCTCTGACCACGGGTTCCCTCCTGCCCCTAACACTGCCTTCTGGAATTCTGAAGCTTCACACAGAACTGCTGAGAACCCCTGGTTTGGTTCTGGTTTGGAACAGAAACCCAGAAGCCTAGTGACAATTAAAATGGCGAGAAAAGTAGTGGCAAAGGCCAGGACTGCTCTCCTTCCTGCTCCCAGGTCACGTCCTCGTGCAGGATCAGCCCGCAGGGCCTTCTCCACTCCGCGCACGACGAGGTTTCTGAACTTCGTTCTGGTCACCTGGCTCCCACAGCTGCCCCCGTCCTCCCGACCCCCGTCCAGCCAGCACAGTTGGGGAGCAAGCTGCTCTGTGTGCGTTAATTCCCTACATGAATGCGCCACAGTCCTTCCAGTGCCAACACGGGTCCCCTGCACCCCCACTGCTTCTTTCTAACAATCTTATCCAGGCAAACCCCACAAGTTAGCCATTCTTGCCCAGGGTCTGTCAACTGCACGCTAAATGCCATGTGGGCACGAGAGGGGTGGGTAACAGGAACTGGGGAGATGTGTCTCCAGAGTCTCAGCGTTCTAAAATGGATTCTACACGGGGTGCCTCGGGGGCTCAGTTGGTTGAGGGTCCGACTTCGGCTCAGGTCATGATCTCACGGTTCATGAGTTCCAGCCCCACGTCGGGCTCTGTGCTGACAGCTCGAAGCCTGGAGCCTGCTTCGGATTCTGTGTCTCCCTCTCTCTCTGACCCTTCCCTGCTCGTGCTCTGTCGCGCTCTCTCTCAACAGTAAATAAACATTAAAAAAATATTTTTAAATGGATTCTACAGCCATCTTTAAAAGAGGATGAGGAAGAAGATTTGAACTTTCCTTTCCTGGTGATTCAGTGTCAAAGTGAACCTCTTCTTTGTGTCAGACCAGAACGTCAGGCATGGCTCTGGGTACCCTCCTGGGCCCATGTCTCCCTGCTGACACAGGCCTGCCCGGGCGCAGCCTCGCTCCCCTCCCGCGGTACGTGTACCATGCTGCCGCCACCAAAGAAAGCAGAACGGGGGGCTTGTGTGCACAGGACTGATGCTCACGGAGGCTGGGACTCAGGCTCTGATGATGAATTCCCAGGGGGCTCCGTCTGAACCTGCTATTACACGCGGGAGCCCCCATCCCATCCAGGTTTCTACTCTCAAATTCGAAGGGACTGCGACCATAACCCAGCTGAGCTCCTCTCAAACTTTAGTCATTCGCCTGCCTCTATGATGTCTGTCACGTCTGTGTGTTTCCCGTCCCATTTGTTATCTAGCTAATGATCGTGTTTGATCTCATTGTTTTTCTTTTGACTTGAATACATTTTAAAAGGAAACTTTTAAGTTACAATTAATACCCTTCAATTGAGTAATCCCACTCGGAGGGATTTATCTGGAAGATACACCCCTTACACTATGAAAACGCACATGCACAATTCACTGAAGTATTATCTATAATTGCAAAATACTGGAAACTACCTAAATGTCCAAGCATAAAAATCGGTTGAATAAACTTGTACACACACACACACACACACACACACACACACACACCCCCAATGCAGCTGCAACCGGAATGAGGAATAGCGCTGTACTGATATGGACTGACTTCCGGGGAAGTTTGCTAAGTGAAGAGAAGAAAGAGCATATACCGTGTGCTACTCTGTGTGTAAGACAGAAGGGAGAGTAAATCACATATAAATCACCTTCTTCTCGCAAAA